CGTACCTTCCTGATCGGCGGAAGTCGCATGTCCTGGATGCATGGGGTGGTGCTGGGGATGTTGATGCTCCGGTTGTCTTGGTAGCGGGAATTCATGCGTGATGTTGTTGTCGAGCGAATGGGAGGGGATAACGTGAGAGGGTGGTGGATGTATGAAAGGACCGAGGGTCTGCGCTTAGTATGGTGTTGTAGGTGCCACGCTTGGAGTGGTAGTCTGTGATAGGTTCCTCTACCCCAGCTTGAGAGGGCCTCTGCTGCATGGCTTCGCGGAGCAATTGTTCCTTCCGGAAAGGTGCTAAGGTCCTCTGCGTCCGGGTTTAATTGCTTTCGAGTATGATCTTCCACTTTAGGGTTGAGATGGTTCGGAGGCGACCGCTGGACTAAATGCTGGACTACACTGGGGTGATAGGTAGTAAGGCAGTATAAAGCTACTATGTAGCACCCTTTGTTTGAAAGACAGGTCTACCAGCCCCGCCGATCCCTCGTTACACAATTCCCGACAAGACACTCGCTCGTCGTCTCATTCTCTCCCAGCCGCCAACATGAAGTTCCTCACCAACATCCTCCTCTTCATCGCGCCTATTGCCCTCGCTCTCCCCACTTCAGTCTCCGAAGAGGCACCCGTTGAGATTGCTGCTGTCGAGTCTAGACAATCTTGCTACGTCAAGTGCGGCTCAACATGCTACACTTCATCCCAAGTCTCTGCTGCACGCAGTGCGGGTTACAAGCTCTACCAGGCCGGAGACGAAGCTGGTAGCTCGACCTACCCCCATCGGTATAACAACTATGAGGGCTTTGACTTTTTGGTTTCGGGCCCGTATGAAGAGTTCCCGCTGAGGACCTCGGGTGCTTACACTGGTGGTAAGTCCAATATGTGTTGATGAGAAAAAGGGCCAATTAGAGAATGCGTGCTGACTGAGGTGTTTAGGATCTCCGGGTGCTGATCGTGTCATCTTCAACACTGCTGGACAGCGTGCGGGAGAGATTACACACACTGGTGCCAGTGGCAACGCGTTTGTTGCTTGCTCCGGATGGTAAACTTGTTGTAAGGAATTGATCGTGAAGACCATCAGAGGGTCGTTGGCGGCATCTGAGGGTGAGCGGTTTGCACGGTCCCAGAATGCAGTGCATCGGCGAGTTGTAACGAGGGATCGATGTTGCGTCCCAAAGAACTTTTCATCCGCATACCAGTGTCGGACATGTTGGAGGCAATCATTCATGTATATACCTTTTTTGAAACGATTGAATGCATTTTCAAGCTTCTTGCTGCATCGTGATGAGTTCGACTTCGATATGTGGCGTGCTTTCACGTGGTAGCGCGTCCGGAAGGCACGCTATCTCGTGTTTGTACTAGTGAGCCGCTCAATCCGCAATCTTCCTATCGCGAACCTTCTGTCAGAACGCGTAGCACTCTTTCAACGAACTCATCTCATTCATTGTCGCTTTTATTTAGCGCCATGTCACGCGTCACCAGTGGAGAACACCTTGCGCGACAAGAGTTAGAGGAAGTCATTAAGACCTCGACTCACAAGCGCTTACAAACTGTCCTGCTCGAAATATGCAACGAGTCGCCAGAAGCTTTCAAGCTAGCACACGACAAGCTTTTTGTGAAGGAAGAAGCAGCAGGGCGGCCAGCCGTGTCGCTTCTTGATGGGCCGCTCGCAGAGAATTACGCCTTCAAGTTACCAAGAACTCAGAAGCGCGGTCGACGCTTCGACATTTGTGTGCAGTGTTATAAAGAGTTTGATATACTTAAGGAGGAAAGGTGCGAATGGCATCCAGGTAAGAAGATCCCGACCATCAAAGTCCATAAATGTATCACTCACATCTATACAAGGAGACTTGGAGGTGTTTGAAGATGAGGACTTTTGGGCCGATCATGATGAAAACTGCCACGGAGAGATCGATACCGAGGAAATGCGCGAGGAGTATCCTGAAGGTTTCGTCTGGAGTTGTTGCAAGGGGTACGGTGATGCTAAGGGCTGTAGAACAGATCCTCACGAACCACGCTCTGCGAAGAGAAGCAGGACTGAGAGTCCCAGTGGCGAGTCATCATCGGAACGCGATTCTGAATCAGAGTAGAGAGACACTTGTGTGTCTATTCCAGTAATATCTTTAGTAATAACGGTGTTCATCTTCGATGCCTTCACCGACAACCGTCCTAAGCTGTCCGAAACCAGCATTCGACCAGAGCGCACGTCCGGACATAGTATGGCTATGCGACGCGCATGATCACATCGAGCTATAATACACCATATAGCACCCTGTCAGAATTAAGCTATTGGATACGCGCGCTTACTGCGTCAAGGGTCCTGAGGTCCTGACTGTGTTACCGCCCAGCCAACAACATAAGATCAGCTCAGTGTCCATCATCACACTCCACCGGAGCCATCATGAGGTCTATAACGTACTCTTAAGTATCACTTGACACGATGTCATCGCCACAATACTTGACAAACTGCTCGCCAACAGCTTACAGAATGACCGTAGCAGGCAAAAGGGCATGAAAACCAACGCCATCTTACGTCCGATGAGTGAAGACAACGTTATATTTGAGAAGGGAGACTATAGAAGTGAGAAGATGTATAAAGTCTGTGAAGAGACACACTCAGACAGCTCACAACACATCTTCCCGCACTTCCATCTTCACTACATCAGAAATCTTTCAATCCACCAGGACCTTTCAGTCTTAAACTTCAAGATGCATTTCTCCACCGCTGTTACCACCTTGTCCGCTTTCGCTGTCATGAGCTCCAGCGTGAGTGCCTTCCAGGCCGACTTCGACACTTGGGACGTCCGAGGCTGCATGGGTAGTGGTGAACCAGGACGCCTTAACCACTACCCCACGGTTAACAAGGACGTATGCGGTGACCTACCCAATGCTGCGAGCATCAGAGTCAACTACTTAGAGGGCAACTGCCAAGGTAAGTCTACGGCCCTCAGCATTCTTGGACTTGCGATCGTGGCGCTAACGATGGATGTGTAGTGAACCTCTACTCTGGACCGATGTGCAGTGGTGACTTTACTGTGTACAAGAAAGAGCCCAACTACAATCAGTCATGCAAGAATGTTGATGGCAAAGTGAGCTACAAGGTTACTTGCTAGATTGCCGCGTTTGTTGGACAGTGAGGACAAGTGGTGAATGAGGCGCCTCGTAGACGGAGCTGGCAACGGCGTGGATATTTGGACAGTCATTACCATTTCTTCTTCTTTTCTGCTGTATCTCACTCCGCTCTTTGTAGATTCGTCTCTGTACGTCTGGCTGTCTGTTCAACACGAGACGGAAGCGTACCTTGAACAATCGAACCTTTTAACCCAACTGTACTTGACTGGCCATGTGATGATTCGCGGTAGGAAATGTGTGAATTCGAGGAATGCGCTGCGGTGCTATCCCAATTGATGGAGCCTGCCATACACTCACGCAGTCTTCCTCCACGCGTCAGCCAACAGTGCCCCACCAGCAACCATACCACAAGCACCAACACCCCAATCACTCAGCAACCCCTGTCCTAATGACCAGTGAACAGTCATGGGCGCATATGCCAGATTAGACGCCAGATCCTTCCACCACAGCCAGTTTTCCAATTTCCTGGCCTTGATCCGCTCCTCCCTCTGGATCTTATCCTCCTTCTCCCCATCGCCCGAGCTCACCGATATCGACTCAGATGACGAAGCGTAATACTGCTGCACACCCAAACGAACCAGCTCAACACCAACATATGCCGCCCAAAACCTCGAACTCCACAACCACCACGCATTCTCCCGCGCTTTACCCACATCGCCCGTCCATCTCGCCGTCGTCAACGCACCCTTTGAGCTTAGGTACGCGCCGTTCTCCAAAACTTGGAAACCGACACAGGACATGATGGCCGTCCACGTCAGCCCTCTCAGTATCTTCTCTTTCCTAGTCGCATCTTCCGGCAACCTGTCTTGAGATGTATCCCGCGCCCAAGTATACAATCCCAACACACCCCATAACCGCACGAAGATGCGGAAATCGGATATGACAGCCGCAAGCGCTCTCGAACTCCCGACTACTTGTGCGATGACCTTTGTGCTCGTGGGCGCTGGGAGGCTGGCTATGAGCGTTTCGCCAGGGAGCAGGACACCCTCTGCTTTCTCGGCGATTTCGGTGGCGATGGATGCGAGGCGGCGTTCGAGGACGCGGGAGAGGACGGCGTGGATGAGGGTTAGGGTGTACGAGGTTGTGCAGAGGAGGACGTCGGTGCCGCTGGGTGTGGAGAGGAGTTTGGAGAGGCGGACGAGCGTGCGGTCTGCGGTGCCAGCGGTTCTGGCGAGGTATCTTAGGAGAAGGAAGCGCAGTTTTTGTATCGTTGTCAATCGCGACGGTGGTGTGGGTGTAGGTTTCGCATCGGGTTGTGGAGTTGGCTGGTTTGCGCTGGCAGAGGAAGGGATGGTGGTGGAGTCCGGATGCGAGTCCTCCATGTTGAGAAAGTGAGTATTAGGGTAGACGCTCAAGGGAGTCTTGGAGGCGAGCAGAAAGGAGTGTCGGTGCTATCGAGCCTGCATGGTGTTGTTGATTCCGCGCGTAGAGAAAACATGACACCACCCGCGTGTTGACCGAGGTTTGCTCGGGAAGTTGCTTATCGCGTCATCGGCCCGCACGTGGAGCCCACGTTTGGCGACGACCCGTCCATCTTCATTCACATGTGACGAGAGATGGACCCTGAGAAGCTCAACCACTAGCTTCGCATCACCGATCGCGTGAGGTCTTGTGAGCCATGGTCGCAGAATTCCATGGCGAGGGGTTAGTCGTCATGGACTTTGTTCTACGCCATTTGGGTTTCGTATAGAAAGCTTCGACTCGGCCCACGGCGCGGATCCCTGCCACCTCGTCGTCTTCCCCATACCGTCCCCACTCATACCGCCTCATCTATCGCGGGGAGAAGATACGAGAGCGGGCTCTCTCTCCACCTTCTTATACACCGCCTGGTCGCGTTGAACACCATCGCTTTCGCTCTCACCTCCACCTCCGCAATCATGTCAACCCCAGAGATCCCAACGCGTCGACCTACCTACCCTCTCGCTCACGCTTTCCGCCGTAAACCCCGTCGTCTCCCTCTCGTCCTCCGCTTCTCAAAGGGCGCCGTACACGACATCATCCTCATACCCGTGCTCCTCCACTCGCTCTTCACCGTCCTGATCGTATACATCGACACCCGCTATGTGGACAGCATATCCATTCCCGCGACCATCATACCCTCGCTCTCCATAGTAGTCGGTCTGATGCTAGTCTTCCGCAATAGCACCGGCTACGACCGCTTCTGGACCGGCCGCAACTGCCTCACCACAATCGGAACCTGCGTCCGCAACCTCGCTCGGATCTGTCTCGTAAACTCCCGCGACAAAGACGGCCATGCCACGGAAGAAGAAAGAAGGGATACCGAGAATATAGTCCGAGTCCTGGTAGCCGTCTTGTACTCTATCAAACACAACCTCCGCGCGGAGTTCAATATCCCACCTGCGAGTCTGGCTACTCTGCCGCCTCAACCAAGCGTCTACCCGAACCGCTCCCGTCCTGTTTCCAGACGCCCCAGCTACATCGACCGCACTGGTAGTTTCGGTCCGTTCTATCCTCCCATTCTCACAAACAACAGCACGAGTACCACCCCGCTTCTCGGCGGATCGACTGCCACCCTCGAGAACGGCGATGGAACAACACCTATGAAGAAGGACGAATACGTGTCGCTCCTTCCGGAAGGCTTGATGGGCTACGAGGATCAAGGTCTCGGTCTGCCCTTACAACTCACGATCCTGCTAGAAGGCTACATCCGCCGCGGTCACGATAGAGGCTGGTTCCATGCGCCCCTCTCCTCGCAAATGACTGTTCAGCTAAACACTCTTGTTTCTGCGTACGGCACTATGGAGACTATTCACAGCACGCCCATCCCTGTCGCACACCTGATTCACCAGAAGCAGGTCCTGGCGCTGTATGCATGTGTCCTTCCTTTTGCCATTGTCGATGATTACAGGTGGTGGAGTGTGCCCATTGTGGCCATCATTGCGTTCACGCTCTATGGTATTGAGGGTATTGGTGTTCAGTTGGAGGATCCGTTTGGATATGATAAGAATGACATCAAGATGGACGGCATCATTGAGGATACGAGGCAGGAGGTTATGGTGTTGTTGGAGGAGTGGAGGGCGAGTCACGAAGGGAGGGCCATGGGGGGTATGTTCGAGTGTGAGTCGTTTTGCGAGTGAAAATCCAACGACTGGATCTGAAGGAAAAGATGAAGTACGACGAGATAACGAGATGGTCAGCCACGAACTAATGTTTGTTTTGGTCTTTACGAGTTTCCATAGCGTAGATACCCCAGAAGCACAATGGCCAAACGAATGTGTCCTAGACGGAAAGAAAGCTGCAAGCGCGAAGATTTGGTTGACTTTGTTACAATACATTAGCTACCGTTCTTCCGCCCTCCTGTATGTCTTGCTTACTCTTGAACTATAACACATTGCAACATGATCCCCCCACCCAGACCTACATGGAGATCATAACAATCGCTTTGTACACGCCATAACGCCCGGAAATATGCAACTGAGCCCGAAAGGAGAGGTTTCCAAGAGAAAGAAGTTGAAAGATGCAACACGCTCAGTTTGCGGATCAGCTAGTCAAATCGCACCGGAGGGAGAGTCGGTGCTCCACTGTTACTTCGCGCTCCACTGCTGTCGGAATCAGACGGAGGGGAAGTCTCGCGCATGCGGCTGCCGGCTGTTCTTCCCGCACTACCATCGAGCACAAAAGGGCCGGCGTCGTTCCTTGGGGTCATGGGACCGTCCTGTACGCGATCAGGGCTTAGGCCATTGCTGCCGGCAGGATACAGAGGCGATAGTCCCACGTACTCATTCGCACCGTTGACGTTGATGGACACTGGCTGTGTGACTGACGATGTTGGTGGCGTGAGGCGGCGATCGGGCGTCTCTAGTACAGTCTGGTTCTCGATGTTTGTGATCTGATGGTGTAGATCCGTCAAATCAACACCACCGTCTGAATCGGTGCCATTGATCTGGGCGACAGAGGCACGGGGAGTGACGTGACGGTCACCTTGCTCCGCGCTGGCGTGAGGAGCCGTGTCACCGTTGACTACCTCCTCGTCACCCTCCCAATCCTCGAACTCGCCCATGTCTTCTACATCCTCTTCTAGATCTGCGACCGCCCTGCAGTTTGGGCAAAGGAAGTTGGGCCATGTGGGTCCATTGAGAATAGGACGGATACACTTGTAGTGCCAGACGTGGGAGCAGGGTGCTACAAACAGGGACTGACATGGCTGTGCGCTGATTAGTACGGTTAGGTCTCGATACTACGGGAGTACGTACGGCTATGGACATCAAACAAATCGCACATTCAGACGTGTGTGTGGAAGCATTGTCTCCCGTGACCTCCTTCTTGTTCTTGGCAAGTGCGCGTAGTCGTTGATGGGTTTGTTTGCTGTGCGGGTTAGTAGTCGCCTTCTACCGCGCGGACAAATAAACTTACTTGAAAGTATTTAGTCCCTGCTGCCAGCCGCGGTTGCACTCGACGCGAATCTTGACACATCTGAAGATCATCTCCTCGCCGCCACGGAAATCGATGCCCAACTGGATGATGTCGCCATCCTTTATGCGGAAGGGCTTTGACTCGACGTTCGGCTGACTTAGACGGATGTGGTTCAGGAAGGTGCCCGAGGAGCTCTTTACGTCTTTGATATACCAGCTGCCGTCCTTGCACCACAGCTCGCAGTGCTTCCTGCTGACCACCTTGGACTTGAAGCCGATGGCCGCAGCCGACGGGGCATTGGTTTGGACTTCAGGGAGGTTGTCGCGCTCCGAGTATCTTCCTACGCGAAGAATCGCGCTCTCGTCGGGGAGGGTGCGGTTGATGGTGGGGAATATCAGCGAAGGTCTGCCGGCTCGGGGGTCCTGATGCGGGATGAAACGAATCGAGGGGAGGTGCTTGACGGCGCCCGCGCTCTCGGGAGCGCCTTCCATCGGTTGGGCGGTGGCGGGCCCTGGTGTTGAGGTGGGCGTGGGTCCGGTGTTGTTGCGCACTTGCAGTTGGGGCTGAGCCGTCTCGGAACGGGTTCTCGTCATGGTGGGTTTGGGGGTAGTGGGCGGGGAGTCGGTGGAGGGAGGCTGGGGGTGGGTATCGGCCGTGTGGCTCCTCGACAGTGAATCTGGACGGGCGGCCGTGTGTTGGTGGGACGACGAGGCAAAGGCGGGCGAGGCAGGTGGAGTGTGTGTTGAGGCGCGTGGCCGTGTCCCGGTTCGGGAGTCCTCACGTGAAGCGTCGGCTTGGCTGCCGGAGTGCAGGTGCAGGTTTCGGAGGAAGCTGATGCCTCTGTGGACGCCCGTGGGTCGCTGCGAGGGCGAATTGGGGACGGCAGTCGCAACTGTAGGGAGGGCTGGGGTTGTTGTTGTGGTGAACATCACCCCCGTCAGCGGCGCAGAGCGAGGATTAAGGCCTGAAGCTGGCGTGGGCGGGAATGTGAATGCGCGAGTTTCGACAGCGTTTGACAGACGACGCAGTTTGCCCGTTTACAAGAGCACGCATGGGTGGGAGAGTCCGAGACACTGCGGTACTGGGGCAAATGATGAATGCAAATGCACACTGGCAATGGTGCGCGAACAAGGCCAGGGCGGCCTGGACGGGCCAAGCAAACCAGAAGAGGAGCAGGCCGCCTCTAGACTGGCGATGCGGGACTACCAAGAAGACGGACCTCTAGCATGTACTGGTAACAGGGTTCCAGAGTCGACATGATGAAGTCAGCTCTTGTCGGCCGTCGCTACCAGACGCACTGCTGAACGTCACGCGGGACGGTAACAGCTGCCAGGCCCATGCCCATGTCCAGGTCCATGACAAGATGGCAGATGGCAGATGGTGTCTGAAACCCCTCCGCCCTCGTGCTCCATGTGTCTGCATCACGGCGGCGCTTGTCCGACTAAATATAGTTCCCCGCGGATATATGTGAGCATCCAAACCGACATGGCCATGTTAGATAGAGTTCATGCGCTGATCGCAGCGTTGCGGTGTGGGGCCGCCTTCATGGTGTAAGGGATCCGCTGCACTGGGTCTCCGCGCACGTGACATCATGTCATCCGAAGATGGGGAATTTTTCGGAACGCGCGACGGGTGCTGCCCTCACCCACGCCAGAAATGTTAAGACCGCACACGTACCGACCGCTATCCCGGGGACTGTCCAAGACTTCGGCGTCGCTCACACGGTCAGCACCATGCGCAGGCAGACGGAGCCTGGCCACGGCCGTCGCTGAAGAGAGGGTTAGCACTGAGTTCACGTAGCAAGCCGAAGCCATTCTAAACTGCTGTCCAGGATCCCGCCGAACTCGACCAGATCACCACTCTCCCCAATGGCATCCGCGTCGCCACCGAAGCCCTGCCGGGCCACTTCTCGGGTATCGGAGTCTACGTCGACGCGGGCTCGCGGTACGAGAACGATGCACTGCGCGGAGTCAGCCATATCATCGACCGGCTGGCCTTCAAGTCCACACGCTCCACCTCCGGCGACCAGATGATGGAGAAGGTAGAGACACTGGGCGGCAACATACAATGCGCGTCTAGCCGAGAGTCGGTCATGTACCAGTCCGCCACGTTCAACTCCGCCGTTCCCTCCACCGTCGGTGTCCTTGCCGAGACGATCCGGGATCCAATGGTGACAGAAGACGAGGTACAGCAACAGCTCGAGACGGCCGATTACGAGATTGGAGAGATCTGGAGCAAGCCAGAGCTGATCTTGCCGGAGCTCGTACACATGGCAGCCTTCAAGGACAACACTCTGGGCAACCCTCTGTTGTGTCCCAAGGAGCGCCTGCCCTTCATCAACCGCGCCGTTGTCGAGGCATACCGAAAAGAGTTCTTTAAGCCCGACCGGATAGTCGTTGCCTTTGCCGGTGTCAACCACAACGAAGCTGTCCGCCTGACAGAAGAGTACTTTGGCGACATGGAGAAGGGCACCGGCCCATCGCTCATCGGCCTCGACTCTAACAGTTCAGCTTCTAACAGCGCACCGCAACAGCAGATGTTCACGGCCGATCACCCAACACCCACCGGGGCACCACCGCAGACCTCGAAACTCCTCTCAAAGATACCTTTCTTCAAGAACCTCTCCACATCGGCTACCTCCAACGCCTCCGTAAACACATCACTCGACCTCAACTTCCCGCCGATAGATACATCGCTACCCTCACAGTACACTGGTGGCTTCCTCACACTACCGCCGATCCCACCACCAGCAAACCCCATGCTCCCCCGCCTGTCGCACATCCACCTCGCCTTCGAAGCCCTCCCCATCTCCTCGCCCGACATCTACGCCCTCGCGACCCTACAAACACTGCTCGGAGGTGGCGGCTCCTTCAGTGCAGGTGGCCCAGGAAAGGGAATGTACTCGCGTCTCTACACCAACGTACTGAACCAGCACGGATGGGTAGAATCCTGCGTGGCCTTCAACCACAGCTACACTGATAGCGGCCTCTTCGGCATCGCATCCTCATGCGCCCCCTCGCACGTCACCCAAATGCTCGAAGTCATGTGCCGCGAACTCAAATCGCTCGGCGACGAAACCGGCTATTCCGCCCTCAACGACGTCGAAGTCCAACGCGCGAAAAACCAACTCCGCTCCTCGCTCCTCATGAACCTCGAAAGCAGAATGGTGGAGCTAGAAGACCTCGGCAGGCAAGTCCAAGTCCACGGCCGCAAAGTCGGCGTCAAGGAGATGTGCAAGAAGATTGAGGATGTTACCGTCAAGGACCTGAGGAGAGTGGCCCGTCACGTTTTCGGTGGCCAGGTAAAGAACATTGGAGGAGGATCTGGAGCGCCGACTGTTGTGCTGCAAGAGGGTGAGCAGGAGGGGCTCAAGAGGAAAGATTTCACCTGGGATGATATACAGACGAGGATTGCGAGGTGGAAGCTTGGCCGTAAATAGAGAACTATGGGAATGACGAGGCTTGGCTGGGGATGGCATTGTAAACGCTGTACTTGTATGATAGGAGTGGGACGAAAAGATGAATATCATGATTACCCCGTGGACCTCATACATGAAGATAGCTATTGGTAGCATGGGATATGTGAGACTTCTTTCGCTTTCAGCTTGCATTGGACTCACTGCAGTCTCAACCAAGTGTGTCTAGCCACCTCGTACAAGGAACAGGCTGAACAGGTCTGAAGACTACACTAGTATAAAACACGCACATTGGAAGAATCTAGCGGT